TTAACGTGTTAAGAAGAACCAAGAAAGCGAGAACTAAGACCGATGAGATCACAAGTCTTTAAGTGACGTCAAACACGGTAGTTCTTCATAACTTATTTGACGGCAATTCCAAACATTTGTCATTGAACAACAACTTCGTTTAACCGTCGATAAAACGATTATTTATATGCTATTATATAGTTTTTAACAATGTCATATACCTGAGCTGTACCGAGAAGTAAAGATAGTTATAAAAATGAACCTAAAGTGCCAGTTTACTAATTCTTTAAAAATGAGGAACTAAAACAAAAATGGATATATCCAATTAAATTCGACAATTATCAAATAATAACTAATGGTCGAGTAAGTGTTATTCTTCATTTTGTTGTAATATTTGTTTCGTAGACTTTATCAAAAGCTTCTTAATAACACAATGAAAGAAGTCGTATTTAAAAATTTCTATGTTCGGGTATTGTTTAATGTTCATTGGCGAATATTATAATATAAAATTAGCAAAACATTCGAACTTTTGCAAAACTTTTTGTCCTGAAATGAAACAAATTTAAACATCATTTGTCTTATGTAAATATTTATCAATTCAAACTAATTATAAAACTATCTTCGCAAATAAGTATCAGATGCCATCAAAGAACTCAAATTTTTATTATTTAGAAAACTAGAATAATAAACAACTTCGTTTTATTTCTAAAAGAAATAATAAAATAATGACAATGATTGGTTCATTTATTCTTAAAGACAGAATCTACTTTTGTATGATTGAAATTTCAGAAATATTTATCCTTGAATACAGAAATATTCCTGAGCATTAATTGATAATAAATACTAATAAAAAAAAGAATTTAAATTAAGGTTAGCCATTTAAATTTTTTGGGGTAATATATTTAAATTAATTTTAATGAAACTGTTATTAATGACATGATTCTTTCGAACACAGATAAATTGCGTATGTATATCTTATGGATGGTTGACTGAATGTAAGCAATAACAAGGTTCCTAAAACCTGAAGAAATTTAGAAAACTTACGGTGTATCCCTCTGATTAAGTTATGCTTACGAGGCGATGTGTGAACAGGCTTAATATTCTAGGAAGTTTTATTATTGTGATTTGAATTTAAATTTACGCGTAATTTTACCACTCATAAGAGTTTCTGTAATTAAACATTAAAAAAGTTCGTGAGCCTAAGACAAATTTAAGAAAATTGATATCACAACATAAATGAACCGTTAGTTTTTATTTTATTTTTTTATAGCCGCCGTCGAGCAGCCGACCCAGTTTTATGGGTTTACTACAACTACTCCGCATCCTTGTAATTTTGAACCCAATCCAGAAACTCCTGGATCGAGCATTGGGAGAAATTTGCCTTCGTGGAGGACTTTTTGATGGAGCTAACTTTCATTTGCGTTACATGGAGAAGAAGATCACGAAAACCTCCCACGGTTAGCCTGACGGCAAGGAGACTCTAACCCATGATCCGTCTACCACTGAGGATATATCACGTCAGTACTGTGGTTGGTGCAAACCGAATGCGGAATTCGTATCGACTGGGATTCGAACCCGGTTCGCCTGATAACGTTTGTCATGTTTTGAGTGTTATCCCTTATTTGGGTATATTTATGTAAAACAGCGCCGTTTGTTATTTTTTGGGTGGCATCATAGCAAGCTTGCGGAGTTTTCCGAATTCATTTGTTGTTTATTTAGCTGAAAGTTAAATTGAAAGAACGCATCGTATTGAAAACACTATAAGTATAATACTATTAGATGGCTCGCTTTTTCAAGCTTAGGCAAAAAAGAAAAAGAAAAAAAAAGAAAAAAACAATCGGAAGCAGTAACCCGGATATCTTACAAATAATTTTATCCCCTAGGGCCTTCTGTACCTAGTTTTACACGGTCAACCAGCCATGGTGAAATCTTAAATAATATTTTACTTCAATAGAATTAATTATTGGATTTTGTAATTTAATTTTAAGATGTCACATTAGCCAAATATTAACAAAAGTATCGAAAAATAATATATAGCTTACATTAAATTTTCAAATAATTCCAAATACACTGAAAATTTTTTAACTGAAACTATCTGAATTATATATAAAATTTTTGGCAAACGGGCAGTGGTTTTTTCCGAAAAAACAAAGCTTTTTCACAAATATGCTTTTTTTGGTGTTAACGTGTTTTTTGAATTTTTTTCCCTTTTGAAGATAGAACTTTAAAGTAATTTTGTTTTCAATAAGTCTAATATACTTTATAAAATTGTGCGTTAAACAAGTATTTTAAAAATTATTAAAATTTTTACAGCATTTTATATTTGTGCATTTGATTTTTTTAAAATATTTTTTTTTCTTCCATTTTGCACGCAACTTACCATAGAAAATGTTTCTAATTGATAAGCAAATAAATGCACAGATGGGATGATATGTATACACACAGATATCATAGCAGTAAAACTAAAAATGGAACATTCTATTTTTAAACTAAATTTAGATTTTTGCAATCTTAGGAATAAATAAATTTTGAGTTTGCTCCAGATTAAAAGCACTATTCTCATTTTTTCCCACTTATATGTTTATCATTTAAGTCTCGAAGAGTTCCTGTAAACATATTTTAAAACAATAGTTTGTACATATGTATATATATTCATTTAAATATATCTTATTTAAAATGCATCAATTATTGAAATGCATCGTATTCAGTAACACGAAAGATGATTTTAATAAATGCTTTATATTTGTTTTATGTTTTATTTCTTAAAAAACTACGGTTTAAAGAAAATCTTGTAGAATTTAAAATTCAGTTCGCAAAAGTATACAATCTTTTCTCGTCTCTTACCATGCGTAATTTTTTAATTATTGAACACTTTCTGCTCAGAATATTCCGCTAATAATTTTAGAGAGGACTCACTATTTTGTAATATATTTTTGACAAATCTGATAAGAAAGATTGTCATAAAAAATTTACATGTTAGTATACACTTTAATGTTTTAAAATACTTTACTTTTTTATAGTATACTGAAAATAAAAAAAAAGCTAAATTTATTTTTGAAAATAAACTAATACCTTTTTAAAATTATACATTCTTAAGGGGAAAAATACCTTGCTAAATTATTTTGCTTCATTTTTTTATTATAAGCGTTGTTTGTTTGTAGTGTTTTTGATTATCTTATAGCCACTTGGAATTTCAAAGTTTATCGCATGGTTCTGAAAGAATTCTTTAGAACCTATTTTAAAATAGCAATTTTATGGATGTGCCAATAAAATTATGATTTATTATTTGCTTTTTTTTCTTACACAATATGACATATTTTTCTTAGTCTCGTAATTGTTTTGTTATTCGAATCTATCATTTTTTTTTATAATACATGATTAAAGTTTACATTTAATTGAATACTACAAAATATGAAATTGTACATTTGAATGAGGCTCATTCTTCAAATGATATTATTCTAAGTTTAAAAATAGTTCGATGAATCATGATTAAAAAGAGATAAGAAAACATTTCTTATGAAACCATTTTCTACTATGAAATGTAAATCATATTGCTTCATAAAAACATCAAATAGTCCCGGATGTTCGCAATTACACTAAAATTTTACATAAGAATCATTCGTCCCATGGTGACATATGGCTGCGAGCCTTGAACTTTGACACAAAGAGATATAAATAATTTGCTAATTTTTGAACGAAAAATGTATGGCCCAATACAGCTAACTAATAATTATGGGAGGGAGAATAAGAACTAATGATGAACCGGAAGCTCTTATCAAGCATAGAAACATTGTGAAATTCATCAAAGAACAGAGGCTTTCATGGCTTGGTCATATTGAGAGATCACATGACAACCGAGTGGTGAAGATTTGCATTGAAAGCCCATGTGCAATAGGCAATGAGGCAGACCAAAGAAAAGATGTATGGATGATGTCTTGAATAATTTAAAAACTTTAAAGATCTCCAACTGGACGATCAAGGTCAGGGGCTGATCTGTCTGGGGAAATATTGTGCCGCAGGCTAAGGCCCACCCTGGGCTGTAGTGCCCATAAAAAGAAGTCCTGCATGTTCATTGTATTGAGTTAGAACGTGATAAATAACATTGATTCATTCTAAAAAAAATCGAAACCTTCACCACTTAAAAATAATTAAGTTCTAAGCAATTAGATAAAGCAAAAATATTTTACTTCGCTTTATTATAATTTTTTCTTCTAAAACTTCTTTTCCTAAAACTTCCGTGGGTTGAAAAATACGTAGTCGTAAATTTTCACGGCTAGCTTTGTTTTTTAAAAAAAAAAATTTGAAATTTTCGTTTTTTGCAAGATATTTCGCATAAGAGCAAGTACCCCCGCTAAACTGTTCCTGTACCCATAGGGGTACGCGTACCACACTTTGGGAAACACTGGTATAATGAATACATCGATTTGCCTCCCATGCGATGAAATACAATCTGCACAACACTTAGGCATGTTGAGTATCAATTTATAGATAGAAAGTGGTTGACAGGCTGCAAATATTGAGCAACGAAAAGAACTTCCTTCACAAACCGTCATTGACCATTTCGTAACCTGGCTCGCCCGTCGACTCGCTAAGTCTTCGCTAACTTTATGCCCAGAAATCTGACACCGTAACGTTATTTCAATGGAATATAAGTCTTCATATTTCGATTTCAATAGCATTTAAAATTTTGTAATTTTTTCCCATTTTTCGAACATTGACAGTAAAAGATTCGAAATAAAAAGCGCATGAAAGGGCTCAAAGATTTTGGTTACTTAGATTTAGACGTCTAAAGATTTTAGAGTTTTTTTTCACTGCTCCCAATGTAAATATACTTTTTGTTTTTAATCTTTGACATATTTTAAAAGTAACTAAATTAAAGCAGGTGTTTACGAAACATCTTATATAAATAAGTTTATTGAGTCAGTGTTTTGAGTCTCAATGAGGTCTTTTGAGGAAAAAAGAAGCTATTTTAATGCGCGATATAACAGATGAATGATGCATTTTTAATTTCTTTTCCTTAGGTTATGGAAATATATATCCAGTGACAGTGAGAGGTCAAGTAGCCACCATTTTATACGCTTTTATTGGTATTCCATTTCTTCTGATGGTATTAGCTGATCTTGGTAAGCTCTTTACTCGTTGGATAAAAGCTGTCTTTTTCTATGTCAAGTTATTTTGTCAAACTGGCAAGTTCAGAAAAGCAAGAAAAATGGGACGAAGAGCTACAGCTGTTCCAGTTCAAGTATGGCATTACATCTGAGTTTTTAATGAAATCACAGCCTTAGAGACCATTCACACTGCATTCAAAAAATTTGCGTACCTGAATTTGGAAGTGCGGATGAGAACCTGATTGGTCGAATAAATTTACCCGCGACGAACTCATTAATCAGACTCTCGCTCGCAACTCCAAATTCACACGCGTAATTTTTTTGCACGCAGTGAGAAAGGCTCTTAAGGGCGAACTGCTAATAACTATTTAAATGTTTTTTTTAGACTTGTTAAATTCAGATACAGAGTGATAACTGAAGTCTCACTTCCAAAACAGCTATAAAAAAGAATCACTTTTTAAAATGACCTGCATATTCACAAGGAAGATGAAAAGGATGAAGCATGCGAGTAAAAAGTATAAAATTTTAATGATTGCGGTTAATGATAATGTAAAAAGTTTTAATCTACAAATGATACTTAAATCCAAGCAAATGAAATTTACTTGGTTTTAGCACAGATGCGAAAAAATAAGGAAGTATCTTCGATTACCAATAAATTTCCACGGCGAAACCAGCATCGCTACTTTGATCAGTCTGCATTGGGACCAAGGGTACGCGGTATGGTTCCTCGTTAAACTATTCTACTGTAAAGTGCTCGACTTCCAAAGTGGAGATGCCATCCTCTCAGCAGAGGATCAAAATTGTGATGGCATGCCTTCGGATCATCTCTAGGGATGTTTCCCAGACATAGCCCAATACCCATTCATAACCCATTACCCATACATAACCCATTACACAGACATTTTCCCATTGTGTAGCTCTAGTGCGACGTAAATAAACTACCTACATACTACGGCAATACCTAGATAAAATAAAAATTTCAAGAGAACTATATAACTATATCGGAATCTTTAAAAACTACTGCTTTCTGACTTTTCCAATGTTTCGAATTACACCGAGTAGAAAATTCGATGTTGAAACAAATGAATGAGCAATAACACTCAAAAGACCATTCATTTTATTTATTGATTGTCTCGAACAATTTTATTTCAGTTTAAATCTCGCACGCCATATAAAAATAAATATATAAAAATTGAAAACATTTTATGAATGTAGATATTGGATGAAAACTTAAAAATAAAATTTTCTGGATTTGTTCAAAGTTAGTCTCGTAAATACAACATTGGCCGAAAAATACGCCAGACGTTTTCTATGGCTGGATTTAGAAAACTCAGCAAACCATCAATAGTGCTCAAGTTATCTTTCTGACTCGCGTTTCTTTGTTTCAAAGCTTCACTGACTCTAATAGACGAATACACAACATAACATAACGTAACATGTGTAATGTAACTAATGGAATGGCTGCCAAACCTTTCGTTAAAAACTATTAAAATTTATTAAAGAGTGTGTACTCAAGAGAGAGAATAGTAAGGATGGTGTTAGGATGCATGGCTTTACTGCCTATTTTTCCGGGTTACTGTTTGCGGTATATTTTAAGGCCATATGGCTCACTACGTGTTAATATTGCTATGAGACTATCTTGAGTCGTATTTCTTCTATATATAGTATTTGTTACCTGGTTTACGTTATTTCTGTTTACAATGAGTTCTAAATCTTAAACTCGAGGTATTTCTTGCTGTGTAACTTAACATTTGAAGAAGAAAAAAAAAGAATCGTTATAAAACACTTCATACTTTGTCAACAATATACCAACTTCGAAATTTAAACTTAGATCACAATTTGTAAAATGAGCTTAGTCTCGCAGCCCGAACAATGCGCTAATACTAACGTATGATGATGCAAAAACAAACAATAATAGAGATGCCAACTTGCTCCGGACAGCAAATATATATTTTAAAGTGGTAGTTTATCGATTGTGATTCTTGGTTTAATAAATTCAATTTAGCAGATTTTTATCCACCATTATTTTCACTACTTTATAGTACTTATGTCATGCTATACCTTTTAAAAATCAAGCAAAAATAATCGAATATTTGCAAAATTTAATTTTTAGTTATTTAACGTTTTTTTAAAATTATTTTGGCGTATCCGGAGCAGTTGGCATCTCTGTAATAATAAATAATTTTTAACAAAATGGTAATTGAATGTTAAATACCTGTAAAATAGTATTCATGCATGTACAGTTATAAACACGATTTGAAACATCTCACGTGAACCGAAAACTAAATGGAGTATAAAAATGCTATCAAATTTAACCAAATCAAATGAATATTGATTAATTTATCGAATTTGAAAAACATTGTTTAAAAACACACAATTTAAAATTTGAAAAATCTTATTAAGTACACATTTTACAATGCAGGTCAAAATGAGCTGAAATTTTCTGACTTATATGAGTTATATAGTGGGGCAGTGGTGCAAAATATTAATCTGTGTGAGGAATATATTAGGAATTATATTTATTTGTATAGCTTGTTTTTAATAAATTTACTTCATAAATTTTAAAGACAAGCATTTTAAAATATCAAAATAAATCTCATCCTTAATTTAAAAACTGCGCTTTTTGTTATTTCTTTTATTTCAGACTACTTAAACTGGTGCTTTTTTTACCCCAGCAGATATGCTAATTGAACTTTTTCTGTTAAGTAAATTACGTTTTCCTTTAATTTAGGATGTTAAGTATTTAGTTTCAGTATATGAAAATAAACAACTACTTTTATTCTTATTTTAATAACATTATTTAATTTTTAAAAAACTTTCAGAAAATAATCTATAAGAGCTAAATAAATGAGTATTCTGATTTTAAATTTTGGTTTAAAATTATCTCCTAACAATGATGAAGAAAACTGAATGGGGCAAAAAATATTGAGAATTTCTGTTCTCATTGTTTTTCCTTTTGTTCAAGTGTTTCTTGAATCAACATTTAATTTTGATATATATTCTATAATTTTGCTGGTTGAAATATTGTAATTAGAAATATGAAAAGCAATTTTTTATAGAGTTAAGACTACGTCAGAGAGACGATTGATAGAAAAGAGTTTTGTTCCTTTAAAATTCAGATTTTTTTTCTCTCCCAAGATTGAGTAAAGGGCACTGTTTTCAGTATCGCCCGAAGTGCGAGAACGTCTTCAGCCGACACTGACCATACACTTTATTTATGCTGTGATATTAATTTTGTTAAATTTCATTTAGGCTCACGACCCGTTAGAATTTATAAATTACAGTAAACTCTTATGAATGGTAAAATTACGCTCAAATTTAAACACAAATAACAATAATAAAACTTCCTAGAATGTATCAAGCCTGTTCAAATATCGCCTCGTTAACATAACGTAAGCGGAGGGATACGTAGGAAGTTTTCTAAATTTCTTCCGGTTTTAGAAAGCTTGTTATTGTTTACATTCAGTCAATCATTTTTTAAAACGATACACTTATCATCCAGAATTCGATGCCGTTGAGGTAGATTTTTTTCTTTTTAATTTTAAGCACTTCTAATCTGTTTCACACAACTTTCAGACCATTGAGGCGCAGATGATATCAATTGGCGAGTTATAAAAATTTGGATACTTTTTATTGGGGATAGAGATATCTTAGCTGATACCAATTTACTTACCTCACCACTAAAATCTACCAATGATCTACAGAGATGCAACTAATAGGAATGTGTTTTTATTGGAATAGTAATACGAATCGTCCAATAGGAATAGTGCAAACAAAATTTGATTGAATGACAGTGGAACTAGTTCAGCCTCTGGTTTGGACCTCCGGCTCTATAATTGACAATTTTTTCACAGCACCGCTAAAAGAAATTTCGACTATTTTGGCCCACTTCATTGTATGCAAAAAATCACGTATGAGAATCTGATGGATAAATTTTTAATGGATATACCAATTAGATTCTTAATCGCATCACCAAATTTTTGCATGCAGTGAGAACAGTCCATTGGCGTATAGTTAGTAACTGAGATTCTCTTTTTATTTTAGTACATGTCAGTAGCGTGGAACAAAATGCCTTACATCATGCCCTATCAAAGCCGATCTAAGAAACGCCGTTCAAGTGATGTTGCCGAAGATATTGAGATGGATGGAAGAAAAGCTGATTCAGCTGATGAACTGGAAGAAAAAATACACAAAAAAGAAAAGAAAAAGAAGAAAGAAAGCGGGAAAGAGAATACAGTAATTGATAAAAACGAGAAGAAAAAAGAAAATGGGGGAAAAAATACAGAAATTGATCAAAAAGAAGAAGAAAAGGAAAGCGGAGAAGATTACATCATAGAATCAAATGAAGATGAAGATGAGTTCAACTTACCCGTATCATTAGCAGTCCTTTTATTGGTTGCATACATGATGTTAGGAGCCTTTTTGTTTCACCTTTGGGAAAACTGGACTTTTTTCGAATCATTTTATTTCGTTTTTATATCAATGAGTACCATTGGTTTTGGGGATTATGTCCCAGAACATCCAGCATATATGATGGCAACTTTCATTTATTTACTATTCGGATTAGCTTTAACTTCTATGTGCATAAATGTTGTCCAGGAAAAATTATCTGCAACATTTCAAATGGCTAAATTACACATTGGAACCAAGATTGGGCTTGATGCTAATATTTTGATGGAGGATGACATTTTGAGTGGATCTGAAACTCCTGATAGTCGCAGGAGAGGAAGTTCAGTCAAATCTCGAAGAGGATCAAAATCTGCACAATCTTCTCCTCCACGTACAGATGATGAAATAGACACAATTGTTACTCATACTAGCGAAAATGGAGTTACCGTTGAAGCAGTGAAATAGAAAGCTGATTTATTTTTTATGTTTTACACTTTTATATGAAATATTTTTAGTCACAAAAAATACATGGTGTCCCAAATTAGACAAATTGATTTTAAAATATTATTGCAGGGGAAAAAATAACTTGCAGAAACTTTATCTGAATGGACATAAGTGTTTCATCCCAGATTTTTTATTTTTAGTTCAAAAATTTTCAACAGATGGCACTGCAAGTAGTAAATCTGTAAATCAAAGACTGAAAAATTACATCATGATTTTTCGAAATGACATTAGAATATTTTCAAAACATCCACCATTTGTCACAATATTATGTCGTTATTGTAAAGCGAGATTTTTTATACATCAAAACACAACTAAAGAAATGTAGAAAAGACTTACAGTGCCATTTGTAGAAGAAAATTTCTAACTTAAATCAGGAGTTGTAAGTGAACGAATTTATGCCTTGTCACATGAATTTGATGCAAAAACTTTTTTTTATCCTTAACTGTTTTCCTGTTATAAATTTATGAAAACCATCAGTCTAATGGATGGCAAGTGATGAGAGGAACCAAATAACTGTTCTGTTTTCTTAGTAAATACTTACCTTAACTTTTGATGGTATTCGAAGCCAAGAAAGAATTTCAACTAGTTCTGTTACATAAGCGAGCTCTGCTAGTTTCTTTGTGTGAAAGGGACAATTACGATTCAGAACTGGTATTTGTTAAGATTTGGAGCTAACTGGCAGCAAATATCTATGTTTTGTTTTGGTAATAGGCTCGGTTAACAGTTAAGTTCGCTTCGTCTAAAATGAACAGATATCCCGTGAGAAACACCCTGTAGTCGCGCAATATATCGGAAAATTTGTTATCATAAAAGTTTTATTCTTTGATCAAAAGTTATTACACTAAGTGGAGCACGGAAAAAATATTAAAAACTTTTTTTAAGGTAACTTTCCACAAAGATGCTAATTTAAGAAGTAATTATAGTGAAATTTCTAATTTTTGATACAAATGGAAATATTATGCGAGAAAATATTGAAACCTGAAATCTTATATTTATTTTCAGTAGAGATATCCATACTTTGCTTTCAGCATCTTTTATCATTTTAAAACGGAAAAAAAAACATTTAAAATGGATGGTGTTTTCTACACTAGGGAACGCTGCAAGCTTGGTACCGCCTAAATTTCCGGGTTACTGTGTCCGTTGTATTTTAAAGCCATTTGGCATCGTTGTGTTTTGAGATTCTTGCAAACAATGTATTTGATTACTTATTACTTGTGTTTACAATGCTAACAATACTTGTGTTTACAATGCTAAAAGTGTTAACACTAACGTAAAATGGTGCACAGCTTGCAACAAGAACAAACAGTAATAAACTTATGGAAAGAGGCCATATCAAGACTGCCAAAAAAGCGAGTTATTCAAAATCTAGCAACCATGTCACCTTTTTTAACAATATATCTCTAAATAACTAAAACAAATTTTCAATACAAACTCACCAGAATTACATAATAACATTAATATCTTATGAAATACGGCAGATTTGAGCTCGGAAATAATCTAATTTATTTCTTTTATCGAAAGCAAAATTATCCGTTTGTAAATATCGCCTCGCAGAGTAACGTAGTAAGCAGATGCAAACTTTCTAACCGGAACTAGAGCAAGCATACAGCTCGAGATTGTTATTGTTTAAATTTCTACTGAAAACACCATCCATAGACAACAGGTGTTCATTGTAAGCATCTTCAGCCTGCAAACAGGTTCAACCGGTTCTATGACGGGACGAGCTCTAATTATTTCATGTGAGGAAAACTCATTCCCTCTTTACACAGATGAGAAAAGCGCCATCTTTAGGCATTAACAGAAAGTGAGGTATATATTTACGTTTTGGTTATGGATGGTATTTTCTACACTAAGAAACGCTCCAAGCTCCATACTGCCTATAATTCCGGGTTACTGTTTCTGGTGTATTTTAAAGCCATTTGGCTCACAACGTGATCATTGTGTTTTGAGATTCTTGCAAACGTGGTATTTCATTACTTATTACTTGTGTTTACAATGCTAACAATACTTGTGTTTACATTGCTAAAGGTGCTAACACTAACGTAAGATGGTGCACAGCTTGCAACAAGAACAAACAGTAATAAACAAATCAGGGTTGGGTTTTTGCCGTCAAAAACTGGTTTTTGTCATGACAGTGGTAAAAACCGTGTTTTTACCGGTAAAAACTGTCAAAAACCTACTGTTTTCTTAAATTTATGGCATATAGCGGACAATATATTATTTTCACATAATTGCCTTTATAAATGAATGTTGTAAATGATTGCTATTGATTTTGCAACTATATACATGTATTCTTATAGAAGGATATACATTCATACAGAAATATTGTAATATACTTATTGAAAATAGTGATACTTACTTTTATCATTATAGCTTGATTTGCAAAGGATTCAAAATTTTGCACTTCTTAATTGTTAGAAATAAACAAACAAACAAAAAAGCTTGGAACTATTAATAAATTCAAGAACTAAAAAGAAGAATTTAAAATTTGGCATTTCTTAAATATTAGAAATAAGCTAAACAAAACTTTCAAAACTTGTAACTACTAACAAACTCTAAGTCAAGAATGACTTGACATTCTTCAGTAATGTAATATGCCAAACAAAATGATGCTTGGAAATGTTGAAAATTTTGTTTAGTATCCTAATATTTTACTTCAAATAGTATGTTTTGATATAATCATGTTGGGAAAATGCAAGAATCTGTTCTTAAATATCTTTTAACAACTTTTTTTCTGATTTTATTGCCCAAAAATTAATTTTAAATTATAAGCAGTTAAACTCAAATAAAAATACAGTTTTACCAAAACTATGGGTTTTTGACAGTTTTTGACATGACGGTAAAAACCATGGTAATAACCGGTAAAAACTGTCATGTGTCAAAAACTTGCCAACCCTGAAACAAATGGAGATAGGCCGAATCAGGACACCCAAAAAAGCAAAATTTTCAAAATCTAGCAACCATGTCACTTTTTTTAACAATATATCTCTAAATAACTAAAACAAATTTTCTCGTCAAACTCACCAGGATTACTTAATAACATTAATATCTTAAGAAATACGGCAGATTTGAGTTCAAAAATTATCTAATTTACTTCTTGTATTGAAAACAAAATTATCCGTTTGAAAATATCGCCTCGCAGAATAAGCTGTAGTTAGCAGTTTCAAACTTTCTAACCGGAACTAGAGCAGGTATTGAGCTCGAAATTGTTATTGTTTACATTTATATTGAAAACACCATCCATATGGTCAATCAACAGTACAACAGATAACTTTCTACGTCATAAAATGAAAAAATCAAGCATTGTCTATTGAAATTGTGTATTAATATCTTTTCATTTTTAGTATTTTTTTTTAAAAATTATTTACCCAAATCTGTGTTTGTTTCAATTTTCCTGAAAAACTAATAGCCATAATTTGTTTCTTGCTTTTTTTGTTATTATCTTTTAAAAAATTTCTGTAACAAAAATTTGGATTTTTTTTTCTTTTGCATTATTTAATATTAATTTATTATTTATATATGTTTCAAATTCCAGAAGACAAATTACTTTAATTTGCATTCAAAATTTTTTTTATTATTTTTTAAAAATTTCTAAAATTAAAACTGCATATTTTTCCTATAATCATTTTTTAAAAAAAAATTATTTATCAATATCTGCATGTATTAATATCTTTTCATTAAATCGTATTGATATATTTTTAATTGTAATATTTTTGAAAAAATTATTTACCAAAATATGTATTAGTTTCAATTTTTATAAAAAACTAAGAGCCATAATTTGTTTCTTGCTTTCTTTTGTTATTATCTTTCAAAAAATTTCTGAAGCAAAAGTTTGAATTTTTTTTTGGCCTTATTTTATATTAATTTATTGTCGACATATGTTTTAATTTTCTGAAGACAAATTACTTTAATTTGTATTCAAAATTTTTTGTTATTGTTTTTCAAAAATTTCCGAAATTAAAACTGCATATTTTTCCTATTATCATTTTTTTTTTTAATTATTTATCAACATCTGCATGTGCTCCAATTTTCTGAAAAGGAAATGAATTTCTTTTAAGCTTTTTTTGCGATAATCTTTTTAAAAATATCTAACATTAAAATTGGACATTTTTCCAATTATTATTTTTTTTAAAATTATTTATCAACACCTGCATGAGCTTCACTGTCCTGAAAAAAAAATTTATTTGTTTGCAGCACTTTTGTGAATATCTTTTAAAAATAATTTATAAATTTAAAATTTCCCAACTATTATATTTTAAAAATTCCTCAACGTTTGCACATTCTTCAATTTCTTGATAAACTGATAACTTTTAATTATTTTCGGCATATTTTTTGATATCATCTCTTAAAATATTATTTTGATATCATCTCTTAAAACTTCGTATGTTTCATTTTTATTATGTTTTAAAAATTTGATTATCAAAATCTGTATGTTTCAATATCCTGAAGAGAAATTTAAGTAATTATACCTATAATATATGTTTTCTAAATTTTATGCAATTATTTTTTGTAAATTTTGAGATATAGTTGAAGAAAAATGACTGGGAGACAAAAGACATTCCGTGTTTCGGAATCTCTTGAAGTTAATACTAGGAAAAAAATTGCTCATTATTAAAAAAGCTAATTAATTGCGTTATTTTTTTATAAACGATGAATAGAAAAAATAAAAAATTTTATGTCCCAAAAATCCTTTAAAGAAGTAACTTGTGTTTATTGCTACCACAGTTATGTCAGTAAATAAAAATTGCAATGGATTCTTGCTATACAGTGTGTAAAATAAAAATAAATAAAACGGGAAACCTGAATAACGTTTCAACGTTTTCACCTGCAATTTTAATAGTTCTATGCATAGATCTTAATATACAATGAAGCAGGTAAGGGGTATACATAAATCAGGCCGGGTATACAACATAAGGGATCACATCAATATAGACATGTTTTATGTAACAGAAATGTTTTTGCTTTAATTTTGACATAACTAATCCACATTAGTTTTGAGTACACTTGTATGATTTTTATTTCACATTAGGAAGAGACAAATGGAAAAGAATTATTAATCTATAACCTTCTAAATAAATCTAAAAAAAATACCACTTTTTTTATATATCTTACTCTAAAAATGTCACTTAGAGTCTTCTACTTAAAAGATATTTTAAATCAGACACAAAAAATATTTTTTTTCTGAACAGATTTTTTAATGTTCCGCAATTTAGGAAACACAGTTTTAATGATTAACTATAAAAGGTTCCTTTTTTATGAAAAATACATATTTTTCTATACCAAGAGGATATTTTTTTCAACCACTTTATTTTTAAAAAGGATCTATGTTTTGAGATTCAAAAATGGATATTTAAATAATTTATATAATGTGGTAATATCTTGCTTTTACAAAATAATGAAACTTAATAATTCTTTCTTACTTGAAAAAAGCATTTTTACACTAGGCACAAATGGGTTTATTTTACCTTTGGCTTATTTATCTATTTTAAAGAATCAAACCCACTACTGCAACTCATATTTAGTAGTATTACTTAAAGAGTTCGAAAAAAAATTTATAAGCATTTATTAATACTTTTTTAATTTATTTTTGAACGATCTTTTTAATTATTTTTTGTAATAGAAACCTTTTTGAATTGTAAAGTGTGCATGATACTGTGCTATTATAAATAATGAAATCCAAAATTTCAATGAAATCGGTCAAATAGTTTCTGAGCAATAAGATTTTTTAATGCTTATTTTACGAGAACTAGTATTTGAACGAATAAGTTCAAGTTTTGTCTTTCACCATATTGCTTAAAATCATTTAAAAATTTGTTTATCATACAGTAAAAAAAAACGAACGGCATTAAATTAAA